AGGATTTTGTACTTATTCGGACTGTACTATTTATTCGGGACTGTATATTATTTATTCGGACCCTCCGAGTGAGGGCACAACTGTAATAAGTGTGCGTGTGTGTGATGTATGTCTTCCAACCCCACGTCTTTCTCCCTTTTATTTACCCGCTTATGATGGTTAGATTAGGGCATGTTTCAATTAGCATACAGTATGATAGCATGTTTGCATTCATTCATCTGTCTTGCATGCACCGGGCTCGGCGCATCATACTAACTGCATTGACATGTTTGCATTCATTCATCTGTCTTGCATGCACTGGGCTCGGCGCATCATACTAACTACATTGTATTTCAATTCCGAGTTGAATACGTGTTAGTTGTAGCATTTCACATGCCATTGTAGAATAGCCGAGCCTACTTTAGAGTCATTTTGCATGTGTTGTATTAGGCATTCCAGCATAGTTAGGATTCATGCATGGTTTCTAATCAGCTTCTGTTTTGGCTTGGAGTACTCAGTAAATTTTATGCTTTAGCATCCTTGCATGCATGTGAGTGACTGCCATGATAGCATGCTTACCATGAGGCTATGTGCTTATGTGATATAAACTGTCTAAATGCCTGTGGGTGAGGGTTGGGTTATTTGAATTGGAACAATTCGTTGACTGTGAGTTTTAAGCCCACTAGATAGTGGCAAAATCATGTTTTCTAAGCCCATCCGAGGGTGACAAATCCACGTCTTAGCCTACTTGCGGTAGCACCATCAAACCATTTTCAAATAAACAAACATGAAATGTTTTGTTCCAATTCAGGCGACCCAGTCTATACTTGTATGTTGTGCGCATCACATAGTAAATCTAGGCTAATAACTAGAATAAGAACGCATAATCTTTTCAAAAATAGATATTATGGTTAGTAGAGGTCGATCTTTGATCGGGCGAGTGGGGGTGCTCACGAAGTGACCTTCCCCAATCGTACCCAAGTTCCTGAGCCGAGACAACTTTGGTGATGACGGACACGTGGCCTTACGCAAACGAGTTAGGGTTTCTTAAATTTTTCCAAAATAAAACATTTAGGTGGCGACTCTGTATCTGGAAAAGCAGTCTATGTTTGACACTTCTTTCAAAATCTGTTTTCTCAAAACGATTTGCCGGATTTGGACTCTTTGGTTCAGATTTAGAACCGTGACAATTTGAGAGTCCGAACATGTAATGAGCCCAAATGAATAGAACGGGACTCATCCTCCCGGGACGTTCGGGGACGTCTACAATCTGAATGGTGAAACTTGACACATTCACATCAAACGTAACAAGATGATTTGGCTTAACATCAAACTATTGCCAAACAACTTTGATGTTTCTCAGTGACCACGCAACCAAAATCACCCAAATATGGCATTCTTTACCATTCCAAACCGAAACATTAACATCAAAATTAGGCCCTGACCCAAAACAACACGCCATATTCAAACAACAATAACACAAAACGATGGAAATCGTAACACAATTACACATATGGCCATCAATGCGATGTCAAACAACCCAACATACGGACCGGCGTTACATGATGCAATACCATTGTGCACAACACAATCTTTTTTTTTGGCTTAACGCATTTACACACAAAATCATGGCATACAAAGCGGTAAAAATTCGAAAAAAAATTTCCAATGTAGTACTAAATTCCACGCATTCACATCAAACATAACAAAATCCATTAGCCTAGCATAACCAAACAACTTTTATGTTTCTAACCGACAATTTGATGTTACAACCAAATCTGAAGGGTCAAAAATTAAGATGATGTGGCTTAACATCAAACTACTAGCAAACAACTTTGATGTTTTTCAACGACCACTCAACCAATATCATCCAAACATGGCATTCTTTACCATTTCAGGCCGAAACATTAACATCGAAATTATAACGCACTACCATTCAACCCACACCATCATGACAACGAATACCGAAGATAATGTTACCTAATGTTACTTTGTCAAAAATATGTAAAACATCATGTGTAATATGCACAGGGGAAATTATGCCCTAAACTCACATTGCGAAGTACATCGGGAGAAAATGAGTGAATGCAACAACGATACACACAACCAACACCCAAAAATCAAAAATCAAAGACAAAATTTTCAAAACACATTAACGACTGCGTTTCATTGCCATCGTCAGCAACTCCAATAATGGATGAATCGGCGTACGAGACACTAAACACTCACCTCCGTCTCTGTGAATCGAATCACAGGAGAATACGACGCTAAGCTTTATTCGGCATAGTCCACAATGCTCTTATTTGATATGCATAGTGTAGATATTTCTCCAAGTAGGGTTTCTCCCGAAACACAAATGTGGAATTCAAGTAATCTCCTTTTGGAAATCCAAAAACCACATTTAGGGTTTCAATCCACCAACATGGAAATGTTCAAATGTGGAAATGTTGCTATCCAATGTTTTCCTTATACAGGTTGAAAGATTCGATCAAAAACGAGGAAAACTATAAAAGCCTATAGTGCGCTCTATGTCCAGAAGAGTAATTTTACCAATACCCAAAACCCACATTGCCCTCCAATTAAAACATCAACACGCGTAGTGGAGGACAAATGTGCCATTTCATATGTTTCAGGACTTTTCGGTTCAACAGAAAATGTGCAGGACTAAGTAGTGCATAAGTCTATAATTTGAGATTTATTAGTGCTTCACCCTATTTTTAGTACATGTAATAATGTAACATTGCTCATTTACAGAGGGTCATGATAATCTACTTTATCTTAAAATGTAGATAAAATGTAGATAATATTAAAGAGGAGTGCTAAATGCCCTTACTTTTTTTACTTTGGACTCCTCATTTTTTTTATTTTTTTTATTACAATTTTGTCCAAACATCAAATACCAATTTTGTCATCATCCTATGCTCCCAAGTCTAACCCTAACCCTAATCCCACTAATACTTCCACTCCCATCGGCGGCCTTCGGCGACCAACTCACCTCCTTTATTTTCCTTCTCCGACAAGCCTCTTACCACTACTTATTATTCACAGAACTATCAATGACAGAAAAGGTTAGTGCGTTGGCAGAGGCTGTGGAGGAGCGATTAATTCGCGAACTCTCTTTTGCGATCTTCATGTTCATCCTCCGAAACCTACTCCCTTTTTCTCTCTTTTGTGCGCGACTCTCTCTCTCCCTATTTATTTCATTCTCTACCTCACAGGTTGGTCTATTTCTCTTCGTTCGGTTACACAAAGCAGAACTTGTTGAATATGTTTGGTGCTTCACAACTGAACATATGCCTTTTGTTCGGCTACATAGTATTGAACATCAAGTTTTTGTTCAAATTTGGTTTTCCGAACGGCGGCGAGAGTGGTCGCGAAGGCAAACAGTGGGGTTTTCCGAACTGGTTATCCAATCCTTCATCTTCAACAGCATCAATGTGATTCTCTACAATGGAGGAATCACCCTTCAAACTTGAGCCCATTACACTTCCAATGTTGATATATTCCTTGAAAAATAGTTTGCATCTATCTGATACTCCGAAGAAACGGATGGTTGCTCTGTTACTGCTGTTGTCGTTGTTTAAGTAGGTTGTCGGAGGGGGGGGTCGCTGGAGTTAGAGAGGGACTGCTAGAAGAAGGAAGGAGGAGTTGCAAGTAGAAAATGTAGGAATGCGGTTCAAAAGATATATTTGAAATTATGATAGAAGTTTAAAGAAAAATAAAGAGGGAAACAATTTTGATAGTAGGTACCAAAGACCGGTGGGGGGGTTCCAAAGTAAAAAGGTAGGAGCATTAAACAACCCTCATATTAAAACAATTACAATTTCAATATACTTTTCATAAATTTTTAAATATTTTTATGCACTTGTAACAATTTTATAGTACATCTTTTTACACATATGGACACTAATAAACACTATTAAACAGCATTTGAATTTCTCATTAACAAAATAATAAAAATGAACATTTAAGAATTGCTTAAAATATAGCATTTCACATCGTTTATTAATATGGAAAACATAAAAAAAAAAAAAACAAGTGCGTATTTTTATTTTTTAAAAAATTCAAATCATACACTTTATAAATTTTAATAACCAAAGTTACAAAAATTTTAATTATTTTTGAAACGTCAAACTGATTTGATTTGTAATTCTCCCTATAATATCCAATGATACATCTTGTGAGAACTGCTGAAGTTAAACACCAAGACCGGTGCGCCAATTCCTGGAGAAGTGATTCATTGATCCGAGATTTTAAAGTCATTTTTTTTTATCCCAATCAATCATAGACCGCCAAATAAAAATAAAGATAAATAAAAACCCAAAATACAATTTCACCTTTCCAATGAGATGAAACAACATAAAATGAGATCTCAAGCCTCATTTTTGCTGATTCAACTAACCAAAATTAATCAAGACCACAAATAAAATGATGATCTTTTTTTCTCTATATTTTGGTAAAGAAACTACAGCATTGAAAGCATATTAACTATAACAACAAATGCTGTGCCGATTCTCAAATAAAAAGTCCACCACCTTATAAACATCATGGCTGACAATAGAAAGCTACATACTCCAAAAACAATGCCATCAAAGCTTCAAGCAATGTGCTTCAATACATAGGTAGTCAATGCAAAACACTTTCCCTAAGAAAGCATAAATTTTAATAAATGAATCAACAGCTTACATCTCGATTAACCGAAGAACGCATCCAGTCAGAACTCATAATTCCAACAAACACTAGACTCACGTTTCTCACCAAGAATCCTCTAGAGTGATTTTTCTCTAAAGTTTCCTAGAGTGCTACATTGTGTGGTTGAGATTTACTAGCAAGTCACATCAATTTTTCTGATGTGACTTGCCAGTAAATCTCAATCACACAATATAGCCCTCTAGAAAACTTTAGGAAAATTTCACTCTAGAGGATCCTTGCTCCACATTTCTATCCCTCGCGCAGAACTTCGTGGATTAATTGTTTAAATTAAATCAGTTCCCAATATACAGAGAAATCTTAGGGAGAAAAATAAGCAAACACTGTTCAGTTATAAGAACCAACCACCTATGGTTTAATCTATAATTTAAAAATATAATAGTAATGTTCCAATAAATACAATGATTCAAGGGCAAGTAACCAACTTTACTTCAATTTATAGCAAAACATGACCCGTGCTAAATCTTTCCAACATCTAGCATTACTTCACCCGCTCCTCCTTGCAGTCACATCATCAATCTTTGGCATCGTTTTCGTTTGATTTGCCATTATCAGCTTCAATGCATCATTTTCAAACCCCTCGACAGGAACTCAAGAAATTAGCCGTCCTTTAAACCTTTTCCATTACCCATTGATAGGGGTCCATTCACCCAACTTCCTGCCCAGAAGAAACTGCCATAGAGGCCCCCGCACTGAAAAGGCCTGCCCTAAACTGGATCATCCTCCCCTCCAACTCTCCCTTTGAATCCCCTCTAATCCAAGGGTCTCAAACCCACCACCCCACCATGGGCCAGCATTTGGGGTTCAACGGATGGGACTTCATGGCATTATCAATAGCACTCGGATAAAAAACAATTAAATAATACAAAATAAATAGATAGATAATGGGGGGAAAAGTAAGAAAACATGATTTCTTGAAACCCATTTCCCCCATAAAAATGATTTTTGAAACAAAAGTGACCAAACTTGCTCAAATAGACATGTTGACAACATAGAAGACCAACATCACATAGAAAAAATGTGTAGCAACACTGAAACTAGGTTTGGATGGCAGAAATCAAAAAATAAACAAATGAAAAATCTCATTACCAGTAATAAATGACAAAATATTAAATATTGTGGACCTATTACTTTTTTTACTCACATTCCTTCAAGTATGGGAGATTACAATGGAGATTGTAGGGATTAGATTCTTGCTTTGTTTGGAGAAGTGAATTCCAGCATGATAAATAATCAGGAATCATTTTTAATTCCACTCCAATCCACATGATAGAATCTTGGGAACCCCAAATCACATTCCTATTCTCCCCTCAAACTTCCTACCATCCAAACTAAACCTAAAAGTTGAGGATAAGTATTTGTAGGCCAAACATGTAAACAATAATTTCAATATTTTTCTAGTTTTCTGAAAATGACAACATGACAATCTAATTGCAGGCTGGGACATCAAGCAATGAAGTTTGAATTATATCCCATATGCTATACACATCAAAATGGTAAAGTAATGTTGGTAGTTCTAAAAAGACAAGGTTCCACTATCATATGAACAATGACCAAAGATTAAAACGTCGAGGAAAATGTATAATATGAAAAATAATTGGGTGGCCCTTAATGATTTGTTTGAATCGTGAATTTGAGGAGGGAAAAGAAATGGCAAGGAAAAAGTGTAAAAAAATTAGTTTTTACTTTGAATACTTTTTGCATTCCTTTTATTTTTTCATCCCTCCAGTGTGCCCACCTCTTCAGCTAATTTATTGAATTTCTGCTATTACAGGTCTGTTAAAAACTTAGAAGCACTTTTGCCATCAACTTCTGAACCAAAGTTTTGGAATCTATTATTTTGTCTTTAGTCCCACCACTCCTTCCACATAGTTCGTCCCGAGGATAGGGCATATCAAGGCTATCCTGTATCAATTAGCAAGGGCTTCAATCTTTATTTTGGTTCTAATATTCAGTGGTGTATTAAGCACTTTAAAGGCCAATATGTACTTCTAATGCATTGTGTTTAAAATGTTGCTACTAATTATGACTTGGTGATGGACTAGTATTAAATGCATGACTCTAATATACTTGTGTTGGAATAAGTGCTAATGTTTCCTTAAAATGGACCATCATTGTAAATGCATGGGTTATCACATATTATCACATTCTAATGGTGGGTTTTTCTTGTGTGGCACTGTGGTTATGAGGTTGGCAGGAGAAAGAGCTTCTTGTGATTAGAGTTTCCTTGTCCTTAGTAAGTATGTGGGTGATGTGGCATGAGTTGGCTGAGGAGTGCCCTTCGGGAAGATGGCAAACATTGGTATGATAGGAGGTCACTGGACGTGGTAGAGGAGAGAGCCAAGGGTAGCGTTAGCAGAGAGGGAGAGTGGCAGTGGAAATTTGATACGCCGAAGAGCAGGGATGCTTGAGTTTGTTGTACATGCATGGAGGTTCCTTTTATATCGGGTGACGAGCCTAGGGGAGCCAACTCATTTGAGAACACATCGCACAACCCCCTTACGTAGGCAAAATGGAGGGCAACTTGATTAACTTTGTAACTTTCGGGAGCGTATCATAAGTGAACTGGTATAAGTATGATACATTCTTATTGGTCACTAGCAGTGTGATTCAGAGATAGGCATGATACAATCACCAAGGTATCACATGTTTTGGATTGGTCTGAGCGTGCCACACTTCTGAGAGGGGAGCTCAGCGAGAGCATCCAGACAATCCTGAACTCTAGTCTTCAATTCACAAATCCTCTAGCAGGGTGCCCAGGCCCTACTTCCAGCCTAGGAAACACATCCATGTTGTCTTTAAGGTTGAGGTCTTGCTCGGTGAGCAACCCACCAGGCTGACCTTAGTTGCATGAAGTGGGAGCAGGAGCAGGGGCAAGGGTGTGGGCATATAGAAGTTTCTGAAGTTATGAGCACCTATACGATCATGTATATACTTATATATCAAATATATAAACATATAGCAACAATTATTTTTCTACTTAGTTGTAATATATGTGTTAAAATATGAATAAATACTAGAAATAGATGTCAACTATAACTTGTCTTTGTTAAATATAAACAGATATTATGTAAATAGAAAGTATTAGAATGAATTTGAGTTGTTTTTCTTTGTTTCTTTGAGATTTGTATATGTAACACATTCTCTCTCAATTGGGAGTGAATTTCTTCCTCGAAGGAAGTGAGTTTTGTTTTTCCTCGAAAATTAAAAGCGCGGAATTGAGTTTTTGAGTAAAAAAATGTCACCCAAAGAAGAGTTTCCTACTCAAAGGTTGGACCGAGCGCCTCACAAATCTAACAAGGCCAAGCACAACAATAGCTTTCAGGTTGCTGATTGGTTCACTTGTTGTCGATTGAAGCTGACACATTATGTGTTAGTGATGAGGCGATGCCATGTAGCAAGGTCGGGCCCATGCACGTACACAAGGAAATATTTCTTAATTTGAATCAAGAACATGTGCAACTGGTCATAGGATTATTTTATTTCTTGTTTCATGTTTTTGTTCTTGTTTTGTTTGTTTTTTTATTTTTTGTTTTAATGTTTTTTAAAGCAGATTTGTGTATTGAACAGATTCTACTTGACAGACTAGAAGGATTGGTTTTTTTTTCAACCTCTAAGGTTGAAAAATTTTAATGAGCGGGGTTGGGTTCATTTAATTCTTTGCTCATGGAAATTGGAATGTGAAACTTACAAATATAATAGAATTGCTGAAGCATCCATTTTATCTTATTACAAGTCCTAGGGATTATAGGTGTATTTATTTGGGCATACAATGTCTGATACCAGTACTTAACTGTTGTAATTTTTCAATGAATGTGGGACCCCACCTAATGCAGTGTCAAAGGCAGCTAGCTAAATCTTGGAACCACCAAAGTGGGATTTTGGATGGGTAGACTAGTTATGCTACAGGGACTTAGGTACAATAGGGTACAAACGAGCTGAGCCAAACTTTTGAGTGTTCAAGCTTGTTTACTAATAATTAATTGAGCTTGGTTGGGCCAAGCTCAGGTCGAGCTTAAATAAATTACCTTGAGCTTGGCTCGTCAAATATTTGAGAAACTCAAGCTCGGCTCAAGCTAGCTCAATTACATAAACGAGCCGAGTTTGAGCTGCTCGAGCTAGGAAAAAAACAATTATACTTAAACTAATTTACATATTAAGATTAAACAAATAAAAAAATTATAAGCAAAATATACAAGCATGTTTATATTAATAATAAATTTCATCAATCAAATATATAAATTTACATAAACACCAAACACAAACAGAAAAATAAATAAATTAATGAATTTTATTTGATATATTATTAATAATAAATATTAATTTATTTTCATTACGTTCACATCATTACGTTCACAAGCCTTATCGAGTTAAGCTTAGAGCTACTCGAGCTCGGCTCGAATAATGAACGAGCCTAAAAATCAAACTCAAGCTCGTTCATTTAGTAAACAAACCGAGCTCAAACGAGCTTTAAACAAGTCAAGCTCGAGTTGTTCATGAACAGCACAGTTCATTTGCAGCCTTAGGTAAGAGCTATGTTACCTGAAAACAATAATACCCTAGTGAATTATGTATTGATATGCACGTTTCGAAACATGGTATACTTTCATTCCAAAACGGTAAATTTAGTGGCCTGAAGCGATACCAAATTTTTTTTCCAATATATTTCCTTAAATATTACCTTAAGAGACAAAAAATCAAATATATGAACTAAAATCTAAGGTGAATTAAGTTTTAACAAGACAAAGACATCAAAAATGGGTCCTAATTTTCATAAAAATGATATATTACATGAAATATACATATATATATTGGATACCTAATAGTTTTAAAAAAAAAATTACTCTAAAAGTATTTTAAATTCTTAAGTTTAATATATATAAGTGTACTCCTATCATACCACATTTTAGACCCGTTCCATATACCGGAACGATCCACGTTCTAGGCTGTGTTACAAGGACTCTTTCATTTCCCCCACAACACCTGTATTTCCCCCACAACACCTGTGTCCACCAGATATGACAAGGGTAAGGGTGTGGAATATGTGTTTAACACTCATACCCAATTTAGACACTCAGATCCTTCAATTTGTAACAATACATGAAGAAGAAGAAGAAGAAGAAGAAGAAGAAGAAGAAGAAACTCACATTTGTTCGTAAAACAATATTTTTAGCCTCACATAAATTATATATAAAAATTTCATAATTTTCCTGAACCATATTTAATTTCTAATATATTTCTACATAATTTAAAACATCTCATCCAAGAATACTATATACAATGCAATATATATGTGCATACGGCGTGTCCCTTTACCCATATCCAATTTTGGATACTTATCCCAAGATTTAAATTTAAGAAGGTCCAACGTTTAGATACACACCTCCACCCGATACTCGTACCCGAGTCCATGTAACATAGGTTCTAGGTAACATAGGGTATGAGTATTGAATGCAATTGTGTGTCCAAGCATCAAAAACCTTTGGAAACCTAAATCTCAAGATATTAGGATATATATAAGGGTGCAACTCGGGCAAGTTTGGTTGAGTTGAAAAATTACCAAGCAAAACCCAAGTTGTTTAAAGAGTTGCCCAAGCCTGACCACCAACCCCACTTGTATCTGATGAGAGTGACAGAAAATGAGAGATGCAAATCAACAGTTGCACCGCTGTGGTGGTCTTTGTCATTTTTGAGTGTGAGGAAAATATATAGCGAATATGATCTAAAGGTCCAACTTATTTTAAAATCATCCAATAGCTAATAATATATATATGTATTTAATATTTTTATATATCTATGTGTATAATTTGGGCTTCAGGATGTCTTTGCTCAAACCCAAACCCAAATTCAAATTTAATTTGGGCTATTAAATTTTTGTCCAAGTTCACACTAAATTCATAAATATGTTACCCAAGCCCTAAAAAATTTCAGGCTGGCTCAGATACTTCAAGTTAGGCCCCCCCAAGTTGTGCCCGTAGATATGTATCCAAAAGTCAGATATAGGCATGGGGACACATCATAGACACTAATATATATATATATATTGCATATTGTATAGTATTCTTAATAGAATGTTGTAAATCATGTAGAAATGTACTTGAAATTAAATATGATTCAGAGAACATAAATTTTCTATCCCTCATCCGTGTGAGAGGCTAGAATTGTTTCTTTACTAACAAATGTGAGTACTTCAAATATCGTAAAAACTTGATCCAACTGTCGGACACATAACCCACATCCTTACCCTTGTTATATTTGGTGGACACAAGCACTTTGGAGGAAATAAAATAGTCAATGTAACATTGTTGCATTTAGATGATTTTGATAGATTTTGAGGGGTTTGGCCTTGGTAAGAAAGACCAGGTTCTTTAAGGATATGAAACTTGTGCAGTGTTTCTAGTAATTTTGTTAGAAAGAAATGTAAAGATTTTGATCTTCAAACCCCCATTAAAAGGGACAGTGCGGCTCAGCAAACTCTTGAAATTAGAAAATGTCCAAAGACAAGGAGGGGTTTATTGAATAAAATCCTTTTGGGTTCCAGCAACAATTTGGTTTCAAGGAAATTCCTTTGTTTTTGGTTAGTAAAGATTGGATTGGAGAAATGCATCATATATATTTTGTTATCTTGTGTTGTCTGTTTCCTTTTCTTGGTGGACTTCTCGTCCCCTTTGTACACTTTTGTATTTCCAGTTTTCCCTTTATTTAATAAAATACAAAAAGCCTAACATGAATCTTCTAAACTTGCCCCTTTATAATAATATTGTAAAACATATATACATATAGAATTTAGAATACAACAAAATAAAGAGTTTCTAAGCTACTAATGGGTCGATTGGAAGTTCAGAACAGAAAAAGGAATAGTAACCCAAGTCAACATAGAATTCTTAGAATTTCGAAACTGTACCCATAATAGAAACATCTAACTAAATACTAACTTTTTATAACTCCTATAATGACTTAACTACTCCTAACCTGACCAATGCCCAAAATATGTGCCTGACCAATGCCCAAAATAAAGGTAGCCCATATAATGGTTATGGACTTGACTTTCCTTTTTGGTTACTCTCACATCACAAATACACCTTCAGATCAACACCAACATAAAGGCCACACCTTGACATTTTTTACAGAGCTACAGACATCTTAAAAAGGACTAAATGCTCTAGATGTATGTGTTTACCTCATTCCCATGATTTACAGGATCTCCAACCCCCTAATGCCCCTCACGATTTAATATGAGGACACCCCAGGACCCAGACCAATAACTTTGCTCTCAGAAAAGGGTAGACCTGCCACCCAACTAAAGCAGCCGTTAAAAACTATTCAGTGTACCACAAACTGCCAACTAGACAATAAACTATAGATGCAATCAAACACTCACACCATCCAGAAATTCCAAACTCTACATCCACACTTCTAACGCAAATCCAAAGAGTTCTCCCAAAACTTTGCCCCCGTTCAATTTAATGAAAACAATGTCATCCTGAAATTTTCTCTTCCTTTCTATACTTAAAATTTAATACATTACAGCCCAACCCCTTACCAAAAGTAAACTAAAGTCAGTTATCCTTCACCCATACCCCTATCACGTTTTTGCATCCCACACATCCAAAAAATGGAAGTGAGAAACAGGTTACCGAACACACCTGCACCACTACCATTCTACTAAAATCCTTTCAGCATACCATGCATCAACATGTAAATCTTCAAAAACATTGCAGCCCTTCTTACATATAGAAACATACATTTTGCACTTCTGTGCGGGCTCCACGTATCCAAGTCTGAAGGAAAGTGTTCATCAATGGTGAATCAGTGTATCAACATAAAAATAAATTAAAAAAAGAGGTTGGGTACAGTAGCATTACACAATATTTCTCCAATAAAATTAAATAAATGAAGTTATTTGCATCTCAACTACAATTCAGCTAAATCTAATTAAGAAAAGATTGTATCAATCCCTGCATTGCGACGATATATTTTGAGTTAAAACAATTGCTTGTTCAGCCGGGTCATAGGTGAGAAGAGAGGACACAATAACTGAAGCCAAAATCATCACAATGAACTATGGACAATATGTTGATTAAAGAGGCAACTAGGGTGGGTTTGATCGGTTGGAGATCTGTCCAAGCCCATCCCAGAGGGCACAGAGATCTACACAAAGCTCAACCCTGAGCCCAAGCTTTAACTTGAATTGGCTTGGCCAATTCCTACCTACCTGGCATTAAATTCGAATAAGGCTCGGGTTACCGAAATAAATATATATATATATATATATCATTTGGAAGAGGCCTCGACTCAAACGCATAGTTATTGTCAGCACTTGTTAAGCATGTCATCAAGTCCAAAGTGTTATTAAAGGCGCGCCTAGGCCCAAGTCCCATCCAGGCCCAAGGTTTGCGCCTTGTAGTGTTCCAGGCTAGGCAACTTCGATCAGGCGCGCCTAGGCGTGCGCCTAAGCCCAAGTCCTGTCTAGGCCAAAGGTTTGCGCCTTGTAATGTTCTAGGCCAGGTGACTTCGATAACACCTGACTAGCCCAAGGCTTGGATCTTAAAAGCTTTTTTTATTGTTGTTTTAATTGGTTTTATTTAAAATCAGACCATTGATTTAATATGGTGTAACTACAGAAGATCTCTACTCTTATTACAGATGCCAATACATTGGGCATTCAACCCCAAATCAATGATAGAAGAAAAATTAGCCCTAATTCTTAATCTCGAAAAAACACTAAATGTTTAACATTTTATTTTGTTTATGTTGAACCCTAAATTATTTACTTATATTATATTATATTTTTTTTCCCGGTGTGCCTCACTTTGGTGAAGCCTGCGCCTTGCCTTACGCCTTGAACCTAGGCCCCAGGAGACCTTGGCGCCTTGGTGCGCCTATCACCTTTAATAACACTAACCACTATTTTCAAATATATATATATATATATGTATGTGTGTGTGTGAATAGATAGATAGATAGATATATGAGCAAAACAAATTTTAGATGATTCGTGTGAGTTGGTTTGAAATCGGCATCTAATAACAAGATTTCTCTCTATTTTAAATTTGGTGTCATTTGGGATAAACTTTTTGGCTATTTTAACCTGGCTAAAAGGAAAATGCTATAGAGCCTAAATAAATTATCAAATTTTCTACCAAATCTCACATGATTGTGGGACCCACACACATGGATGTGGGACCCACACACATGGATGTGGGACCCACATAAATCACATGTGTGTGGGTCCCGCAACCATGTGATAAGTTTGGTAGAAAATTTAGTAATATTGGCTAAAAAAGTTCTATTTGTGATAAACTATTGATTTTTTTTTTTTCTTTTTTTTTGGGTAGTCGGTTTGATGGTTGTGAGAAAAAAGTGAAATGATTATAGTTTGAATGTGACATTTTGGCTAAGTTTGACATGTGCCCAAAAAGCCAAAAAGTCAAAAAGTTACTCAAAAAGTTAAAAAGTTATCACTATTTACCAAAAGTCAAAAAGTACGGCTACACAACTCCCAATCCTAATTTCCCCCTACACACTAATTTATACAATTTTTTAACACACATTTTTTCATAAAAAGTCAAAAAGTTAACCCAAACAATCATATTTTTTTCCTCAACTTTTTAGTCCAAAAAGTGCACTTATTTAGGACATCCCAAACAACCCCTTTGTCTTATTGGCTAAATTAGTCTATTTTGTCTTTTTGTGCTAATTTAGCCACTTTAGCCTATGCCAAACGACCCCTAACCACATGGACGCCCTAGTGTTTCTCCTCTCTCATCTCAATTCTCTCTTTCTCTTAGGAAAGGATCAATGTCCAATGAAAATGTGTATTCATTATATAATATATAACATGTATAATATATATTGAGTAAATTACACACTGAAACCCCTACACTTCATATCAAATCCCATTTGGTCCCTCGTTTTTCAATTATATTAGTTAACCCCTTACACTTTTGGTCAAGTTGAATGTGAAGGTTCCATTAATTTGATGCCAAATTGCCCAACAAAATTGTCATTTAACCCTCACATGAGGCATTTTTTTAGGGCAAGATGTAATTTTCTTCCCTTTTCTTCTTGTTCTCTATTTCTCTACTGTATTTTCTCACTCTATTGTATTTTTGGTTAAGTATGCTTGGATATAAATAAATGATACACATAAAACATGACATGATATAATATAATATAATACAATATTATGAATATCTTTGTCACTCAGGTTTTTCATCTGGACCGAAATTAATTCTTTGTCAACGTCTGAGCCCAAAAACTAAAAAAAATGTCCCAAGCCCTAAAATTTCCCAACTGGGTTCAGGTTGCTCAGATACAACCTGCCCAAGTTGCAGCCCTATGTTGATGCTTTTGGTTGGTGAAAAAGATATCACAAATCTGTGAGTATAAGAACTAAAAAACCCAAGAATATCTGACACATCTAGATGGAACTATAAAAGAAAATTATATTGAAACAGACAAAATTAAAATAATCAACAAAAATTCAGGATACTTACAAGAGTTTCGAAAGCATGAAAAGTTGTACCCTAAAAAGACAAAAGGTCATATCAAACACATTTTTTCCTTCAAATGATGCGCACTCAAAATCATCTTAATCACAAAAGGATAAGCAGGTGACTCACTGAATACTACTTTCACTTCAAGGCTGCAGCAATATACCGCCAGTGCAAACTCCTCCGAAATGACCAGACCATGGATCAGACGTAATGCAACTTCATTAGAATATGTATTTATTTAAAAACACAAATAACAGAAGCAAACATAGCAAGCACTGATAGACAGCTCTCTCATTATGACGGCAACCTCACCACAAGTAAATGTACATATTTAAACTTGAATATAATAAATCATGCAACTAAGAACATGATAAGATGTCCAACCAGCAAACATATCAACTCTAGTGAGAAAGTTCAGCAGATCCATGCAAGCATTACCCTATTCATACTCCTAAGATGCTACAAAGTACAAGCAATTGATCACCAATAATATGTAACACACATTCACATAAATCAAGGTGTGACCCGAAGCAATTCTCCTGCCAAGTAGTGAATTATGGTTGTATGAATTCCAATCACTACCACAAAGAGCTTATAAAAAAGAAACATACAATTTCAAAACAGAAATCAAACAATGTAGCTTCACGGGTGTCACAAAAAGCTCCTAATAAACAAACCATGGTACCTTTTTAGAGTGCCTTTTATGCATATAAAGCACTGAATGGTTGCCTCATAGCACTGGAAGAACTCCTGAATAAAAAATAAAATTAGACTCTCCAGGATCCAACCAAAACAGCAAAATAGAAAATTAAATTCACAAAATGGACATAACCAAACCAATCACAGCAACAGGTAGTCCATACACTACAATGTCCACAAAGAATATAAATTCAACACCCCAAAAACCAGGTCAAAATTTATACCACCACCATTACCCATCTGGGACAAACAAGGAATGCAGAGAAAAAGAGAGGGCCCCCCAGCTATTTTAGGAAGAAGTCCTAAGAACAAAATGAATACTATACAGACACGTCAAATAATGAAAATTTGTCTTCACCAGTATTCTGCATCTAACGCCCACAAATACAGGTTTAGGAACTCATATCCATAGTACAAATATAATTATGATAAGAGGATACGCAAATTTTATTAAAATTTTGAAGAAAAAAAATTATAATGGTCACCATCAAGAATGGTTACAAGAGGGAAATAAACGCCTTTGGCAAGTTGTCTTACAATAGAGACAGAAAACATTCCACTGAAAGAATCACCAAGAGGCCTCCAGATCAAACATCATCTCTTTCAATTTCCACCACGCCAAGACTTGTTCCCAGAGGTCTTTAGCCAGCATAGAGAAGATAAAGACAGATAAATGCCCAGTGATTAGATATTTCAATATAAATTTAGTCATAACGTAAAAATAGCTAGCGCAACAGCGTGTCTGGAGTCAGAAAATCAGCATCATTGTTCACTTGCCCGTGATGAATGGATGGGTCAATGCCTGTGTAACTGTTATCCTCTTATCTGGATCCAACACAAAAACTTTTTCTAGGAGATCTCTGAAATTGGCTAACATCTTCAGATCCTCGCCAGGAGAGCTTGTGACAATTGCACCTATATCTTTTGGCTTGAAGCTAGAGATCATCCTCCTTATAATCTGCATGACCAAATTAAAAGATCAATCAACATGTCGCACCAAAAGATCTCATCTATAACAAGTCAGGTACATGAAACCATGGGAAATAGAAAAATATTATTTCAAGGTTTATGCCTACCTTCTTTGTGACAGGATCCTCTTCTGTGGCCAGAAAATTCAAATCCTGATCAAAATGCTGCTCAGTGAAACCTCCCTATCAGAAGTGGAGCAAGAAGAGAGGACAAAAAAAAGAAATCAGAAGCAAGTAAAGTTAGTCTTATATCACCATACATAAACAAAACCACTGACGAGAAGGGAATTAAACACAAAATATTAAGTTACCTGCTACGATATTCAAACAAAATTATATACATAAAAAGTAACTCTAATTTACAGTTTCGCACAAGTGAACCTCATACTGACCTTTCGAAGCATCTTCTTCGGGAATGGACCTTTTAATTCCATATGGAGGCGAAGCATGTCATTGTTTGTAGCACCGGGAAAAAGAACTTTCCCTGTATAGAGCTCAAATAAACAGCAGCCAACTGACCAAATATCCATTGGATGATCATAAGTCAAACCCAGGACTGCAGTGGAAAAAGAAGAATGTATGAATGGTTATCTTCCAGCAGAACACAACACTATCTAAACATCTAGAAACAAGAATATAAAAGAACCAATTAAAGATCCTTTGATAATTTGAACAAAATCAACAACATAGCTTAATAGTAATGCTTACTTATCTCAGGAGCACGATAAAAGCGGCTCACAAGGTAAGGCGTAATTTCATTTTTACCAGCAAACATGGCATTACCAAAATCACAAAGTTTCAGCACATTTTTTGCTTCGTTCACCTGAAAAGTATAATGAGTAAAAGTTAAGATATCTATGCATATACATAATAATAAAACAAGCAAGCCACGCATAGTAGAATATTCTATTACCTACCAGCATATTATCCGGCTTTATATCACAGTGAAGAACGCCGCAGTTTCTGAGATGCTTTAGCGCAATAAAAACTTGTTTTGCATATGCTCTCACTGCCGTTAGTTTAAGTCCAATGTTCCGGCCAAACTTCTTTAAGACCTCACGTAGATTCATATGAAGGGATTCAAAAACTAAACAAAGATGATTCCGGTACTTAAAAGATGAAAGGAAACAAACACAATGGCGCTTGTTCTCTGGGTCAGCACCAACTAGCTTCTTCAATATGATCAATTCCTCCTTACCAGCCTTATGCCTATATTCATTGAAGTACAACGAGCAGTTAATTCCAAAAAATATATAACTAAATAAATAAAGAAGAAGAAGAAGAAGAAGAAGAAGAAGAAGAAAGAAAGAAAGAAAGAAAGAAAGAAAAAATCAGGGCTTTAAAACTCTAAATGTGTTGCCTCAACAGAAACCAACCAAAATTAGCACCAAGAAGAGAGAGGGAGGGGGTTGGGGCTGTATGAGTTACTCACATATGCTCATTATTACGTATAATTTTTATTGCCACATCTTCTGGATCACCAGGTCCAGCCTTAAGATCCTTTGCACGAACTACTGTTGAAAAGACACCTTTCCCATGAGCAGCAGTAACTTCATATCGGCCATCAAGTATTTCCCCAAACCGGTAGCCTGCATAGAAGAACTGCCAACATGAAAACAGGTAGCTATTTTTCATTAAGCCACACACTTCATGCACAGATAAAACGCTAGCCCAAGAATTAGTTGGGAGATGTTTCAATATTTTTTGTCAATAGGATTGTGTAATACCCTTCTGCATACTAGTCATGCATAGCGTTTTATCTCTAATTCTCTCTTGCTTGATATACTAGTCATTCACCACTATGGTTTTCCCTAATCTGTTTCTTCTCCCTTCCAATCAAATATTTTAGTTTATAATGGTATTATATGCTGCAATGAGCCTCAAGTTAAGGTCATTCAAATTCAGGATTTACAGTCAGGCACAGAATTAGAGAAGAGGTGAAAACAATAGCATCAAATCCTCTCGAACCAAAAAGAAAATGACATCCTAAGTAGCATGGACACGGACACGGGACACGACACGTGGACACGTAATTTTTCAAAAAATGGGGGACACGACACGTTGGGGACACGTTTAATATATATAATTTTATTTATATATTATATGTAAAATTAAAAAATATATACTATTTGTATTTATTTTTATTTATTTATTTTATTTATTATATGCAAAATTAAAAAATATATACTAATTTTATTTATTATATGTAGAATTAAAAAATAAATATATTATTTGTATTTATTTATATTATTTAAGACCAAAAGAAAGGTTTGGGGTTATATTATTTATTTATTTATATTATTTATTATTAGTATATAAATATATATATATATATATGTATGTATATATATTGTTAGTATATAACTTATATAGCTGTTGCGTCGAAAATTTTAGCGAGAGAGAGAGAGAGCGGAGAGGGTCAAACGATGCGCAGAAAGGGAGACGAGGTCGATGGTCAAACGAGGGTCAAACGAGGGCGATCGATGGTCGATCGAGGCGCAGAGAGGGAGACGAGGAAGACGAACAGGTTAGGTTTCTTCTCTCTGTCCTCAATCTGTCTCTCTCTTCCCTCGACCTATCTCCCTCTCTCTCTCTTCCCTCGATCTGTCTCTGTCTCTGGCTCTCTCTCTTTCTCCTCTCCAACAGTTCTAGGGCTTCTTCGATCCACCCACCTGTGTGTCTGAATCGTGTCCTCGCGTGTCCAACGTCGTGTCCGACTCTGAAAAATTCTGAAAAAAGGGGGACACGCAGGGGAGAGTGTCGGACACGTGTCAACAGCGTGTCGTACGCGTGTCCGTGTCCGACACTAATACGCAAGCCTCAGGGACGTGTCCGTGCTTCATAGATGACATCAAGTTGTGAGACAGACCTTGAAATGATATCAAGGAAATGATTCATGAGTGATAGGATACTTACTGTAATACCCTTCTGCATCATCCCAATTGTCATGAAGACCACTCCTTTCAATTGTTAAACCATCTCCCTTCCCCTATAAGACCAAAAGAAATAATAATTAACCATGATAATCAGATGAAAATTGGCAGTCAAAATATCAAATTCCATTCTTCAAACCTTTTGTCGCAAGTCCTTGAGCATGCCAACTCAACTCAATACAAAAAAAAATTAAGGGTTAATACTATGGGACACAAAACAGCACAGCCAAGCAACTCTTAAGCCTTAAAAATATACTTTGGAGATCATTTTAACAGAAAGCAATATCATCATCATTAATTCCACCATAGCATCTAAACAAGCAACAAAAGCGTTATTCATCTTTTTCTGCACCACAAAGGTGAAGTAGAAAATCAAACAGTAAAATTGCTATTCTTTTTTTCTCTGTGACGCAAAAGCAAACTTTAAAAACAGAAGGCAATGCATTGTTACAGGCCATCAGTGAGAATATTCTCCAATCTTCAAACTTATTAATTTGCATAGCTTTGAGGACATGGACAACTAGGCCAGGTTAAAAGGTACACAAGGCAGCGGTTGCAGATATTGGCACAAAACACATTCAAGATTCCACAAAGCTGATCCCATTTGGATAATATGGAGCCTTCCTAGATAAGGAACAATTTTTAAAAAAAAAAAAAAACCCTAACAATACATAAATAATCTAATTATGAAAAATTCATGCATACACAAATTCTTTCCCTCAAGTTTATTTGAGCAGTTGCCACAGGTGGCTAGCTGCTGGAGTAGAATAAAAAGTTGTAATGAGATATGTACCTTCAGTTCAAAGTTGCATGATATATTTAAAGGATATCTTACACATTTTCTAGATAGCTCAATAGTGACATGTGCATGATATATTGAAAAGAATATCTTATGCATTTTCTAGATAGCTCAATAGTGACATGTACCCAGCCTCTAATAGGACACGGCACAATATATTTGATTAAAAACAGATATTTAAGCACAAGACTTACTGTTTTACGTACTCCAGCAGGTGACTCTCCAAAAATGTCATCACAAAACATATCGTCTGACCTCTCACTCTGCAAAACCAAACAAAAAGAAAAGTCATGTACCTATATCAAAACTAAGCAATAAAATATATCAAAATTATTCTATATCAGCACCACAAAGTATGGAAATCAAATTTTTTTTCAGAAATATTTTTAAGGAACACAAGAAAACAGGCAATCCAAGCAACAGACACAGTCCTCGAACAAATATACAAAGTTTTTGGCAACAGAGCACACCTTAGGAGTACCCTCTCCCAGTCCCCCAGCACCAGAAGTCTTGTCAAAAGCATAAATCCCATTTTGTGGTGGGGATTTCCCCATAGAAAATGATGGATCAGCAACAGAGGTACCAACCCCTTCATGCCTAACATCAAGAGTTTCTGGAGCAGTAGCTGGCTGAGAAGTTTGTTCAACATGCTCCTTATCTGTACATATCCACAAGCTGTTAGCACACATAGAAATCACAAACATGACAAAAATAACATTGGCATGTTAGAGAAAGAGGATCTGTGTCAAAACATTAAGTTGGTTAAATTTGAAGGTCCCTAGAACCGTATCATCCAAACTGGGAAAATCCAAACATTAAAGAAATCTAAAGCATAACCAATTGACACTCATCATGCAAGCCATGCCGTAAAATACAACTTTTACTTTAATAGGTCACATATAGAACACAATAAAATTAAAATTAAAAATCCATATCAGTAACACAAGGCTTTAAAACCCAAAAAATAAATTATTTGCAAAAAAGATTTATCTAAACTTGCTAACTTAAAAATAAGCTTAGCAAACAGAGGTTGAAAGCAAGCCAGGTCATTCCACTAACTGAAATCCCTTGTTTCTACAAGGTTTAAAGCAATGAAGTTACAAATAATTAGATATTAATAGCAAGCTGTGTAGATCAAAGAAGCTCACCCTTATCCAACAAATCAGGCTCATGTTGTTGCTGTAACTTCTGAATTTTATATTTTTCAAGGATAGCCTGCATTCGCCTTCTACTCTCCTCCTTAATTCTGTCAAGATCTTCATCTTCCCCATCTATAAGTTGCAATGCAATCCTCTCCTGATACTCCTCTTGTTCATTATCATCTCTGCAGCCAAAATAAATTATATATCTCACTCAAGAATCAGAAGAATATCCCAGTTCACCAACCAATTACATGAATGTTTAAGAAGAAGAGATACCTTTTAAATTTCTCTTCATCCTCACCCAAAGAATCAATTTTAGCAGTATAGTTTTTTTCCGGATCATTTTTCCTGGATCTGGCCCTGTTGTCATTTTCATCATGTCTCCATCGCTTGTAATCGTAATACCTATCTCGATCATCACAACAATCATCAACATATTTTTCACAATTACGGTGCCTGCTAACCCTATCACTCTCTTTATCCCTTTCTCTGTCTCTAATGCTATCCCTTCCACTCTCCCTTTCCCATTCCCTCTCTGTCCTCCTCTCCCTATCCCTAACCCTATCCTTATCCCTACCTCTCTCTCTTTCTCTCTCCCTATCTCTCTCCTTGGTCCTCTCCCTGTCTCGGTCCTGTTCCCTCTCTCTTTTTCTATCTCTCTCCATCACCCTTACATCCCTTTCTCTCTCCCGAGTCTCCCAACTCCCCTCCCGCTCCCTGTCCTGAGCCTCTTGGTTGTGGTGTCTTTCACCTCGCTTAGAATATCTGCTATAACTAGAACTACGTTCCCTTTCTTTATCTGTCAGCAAATCTCTACTGTCATGTCGGTTGTCCCGATTGCGTCCAATCATTTTATCATCATCTGAATCACTAATAGTTCTGTTACCCATATAATGTGCAGCATCATTGTGCAGTGTTGTTTTCCTAAGAGAAGCCTCTTCTAAAACACTTCGTGACCGAGACCTTTCCCTTGCATGATCATGTGACTTCGATCTATTCCTTCTACGATCCTCATCATGGTATCGGTCATGGGAAAGCAAGCGTGGTGTTTTTTGGTGTCTGTCCCTTTTGTTTTCTGTTGACGATGACTTTCTCCGATCTCTTAAATTGATTTCATCATCAAAGTAGCTTTTTTGCTTGCAACTTCCTTTAACAGGAGACTGGGATCCTGTAAGTGGCCAAGAGTCTTCTTTAAGGGATTCCCGTCCAATATCCCCATTATTGTAATGCTCAGAACTTGAATTCCCCCCAAAAACAACCGCGTTATTGGTTTTACTACCATCATTCATATTTACATACTTATCCAGTGTCGCATTAATCACTAAATCCTCGACTCGCTCTTGTCCTCATCAAATGACTTTGGATTTCTACCACTTCTATCCAATTTGCCTTCCGGTGGAACACTAGAATTAAGTCCAAGTTCATTTTGAGCTCCATGAACTTCCTGCAAAACAAACCATACATAAATTGATCAAATGCACAACTTCCAGGCAAAAGTAAGCCGCAGAACAGCAGGTCAACAAAAAGCATCTTGGCTAAAAAAATGCGCAAAGAATTGAAACCTTGTAACTAGCTCTTACAAATCAATTGAAAGCCATCAGTCTTCAGGAAATGCATTGAATAACTCTGCAGGGGAAAAAAATGCAATAGAAGGGTGCAAATCTGTTCGGAATACATGTCCCATGTCTGTGTGGTACTGTGGTAAAAGCAGGTTCTAACATATTCATGAGAAACCCAATCTACTCTTAACAATGTCATTATGAACACAGTACACAATATAATCACTCTAATAAAATCAACACATATAGTTTCCGTTTGGTTGCTGAGAAATCAACTTTCTATCCACCTAAACAAAGTAACCAACTCGATTAAGTCTTGTTTGAATCAAGTTTTTCGTTTTCTTGGAATCACCAATGAGTATAAAGAACAAATTTTACGTATACTTTTCCTCAATTTCCTCAGCAACCAAACAGATTACTTTTAAAAATTAAAATTTAAACAAATAGAGTAAGGGGAATCTGAACTCACCATGTTGTGATGATCAGAATCAGTTCTGTTCTTGACCATATTCACAACAGCACCACCGCCAAAGCCCTCGTCTTCGAGAATCTCTCCTTCTTCCATATCATCGTAACAAGGTCGAGAATTCGATCCCGAAAGAATAGAAAGAGGCAGAGGAGAAGGAAGAAGAGAAATCTCCTCTCCTTCCTCGATTTTGGCATCGTCCTCACCGTGCTTTCGGCGGTGGTGGCGGTGGTGGCGGTGCTTGCGGCGTTTGGACGGCTGATCGGAATCTTCGGCGGAGGAGGAACGGCGGTGCTTGCGAGGAGTGGGTTCTTGGGAGTCGGTGGCCATGGTAGACTTGGGTTTCTCTCTCCGCCGGAGGAAATCTAGGGTCGGGTATCTTGATTCTTTGTGGAAAAATGGGGAATCGGAATTTTGGGGTAGATCCGACTGGAGAGGATTGAAATAATGCGACGAGTCTGCGTAGTTTTTCCCCTCGTTTGACATGTGGATATTAGGGGTTAAAAACTAGGGCAATTGTAGGGGATCAAATTTTCTACCAAATAAATAATGAAATGTCTCACATGGGTGTGTGGTTCACAATTCTGTGGATCCCATACTCATATGAGACATTTGGTTATTTGTTTGGTAGAAAATTTAGGGCTTATTTGGTTTGTATTTGAGAAACATGTTTTGAGATAAAAAGTACGAAAATTTGTTTGGTTTGATTTTTTTTCAAAAGATGTTTTGAAAAATTATTTTGAGAGAGAGTTTTGGAAAAAGTGATTGATTTGATGTGTATGAGAGAGAGATTTGTTTGGAAAACTTGTAAACCAAACAAGTTTTGAAAAAAAAAATTGAAAAAAATTGTTTGGTTTGATTACTTTTGAAAACTTATTTGTAGAGAATTTTTCTCAAAATTTTTTGAGAAACACAAACCAAACAAGGCCTTAGAATCTCTAGCATTTTCTTAAAAACTAAGGGGTGATTTGGATATTTATTTTAAAAAAAAATTATAAAAAAATATGTAAAAAAATAAAGAAGAGATGTTAATTGATGTGATTTAAAAAAGATAAAAAAATAGATTTATTGGCTTGGTTTGGCATATTTAAAAAAAAGTTAAGAAGTCACTATCATATTTACGTCATATCATCTTATTTAAATTACATCACCTCTCTAATGCATCTCTTCAAACACAACTCAAACCCAAACCCAACCATTTTGGGAAGATTGTAAAAAGTTGACTTTTTGGAACTTTTTGGCTTTTAACTAAGCTTTTGGTTTTTTTAGACAAATGATTTGAAAAGTTAATAAAAAGTGACTTTTGACTTTTTTTATTAATATTTGTTTATGATGTCAAATCATAATAAAATGACCAAACCACCCCCATTTAGTTTAAAATATTTATAACTTCACTCATATAACACATTTTTACCCATGAATGGTAGAATTGTAATTTCACCATTAGCTAAAAACCAACTTCTCAAATGAAAAAAAATTCAAAAAAGCCAACTTTTAGCTTTTGCTACAAATCAAAAAAAGTGACTAAAAGCCAACTTCCCAAAACAAGCCTTTATAAAAAGTCAAAAAGTATATTTATTTAGGTCATTCCAAACAACCACTTCGTATATGCTAAATAAGTCCTTAGAATAATAAAATACCACATTATGGGGTGGTTTGAGATGTTGTAAATAAGTTTATTTTTTAATTTTTTATAAAAAAAAGTGTAGAAAAGTAAAAAAAAGTTAATAGAAAAATAGAAAAGAGTTGTTGATTGATATGATCCAAATAAATGTATATATACAAAAAAATATACATTGTTAGTGCATGTTAAACAGCTACTTAAATTATAACTTTTTTTCTTATAAAAATTTTAAAAAATTAAAAATTCTAATTTAAATGAGACTTTTTAGTTCAAATTAAAATAGTCAAAAAGTTAAAAAGTCAATTCACTTCCCAAATAAATTATATGAGTTGTTTGTGAATTCAATACGTAAGAAAGCATTTGAGTTTAGAGAATCAAAAATAAAATTATATAAAATTGATAAATTTTTTACGTGTTTATTTATTTTACCAAATTAATTTTTATTAATTATTAAATATATCAACAACTTTGATATCATTATTAAACCAATCTACTAAATCAAAAAATCTAAAATTAAAAACTTTTCATATATTAAATATATCAATTACACATTAAAAGCCTAACAATCACCCATTACATGATTATCATCCAAACAGATAACGAAAATTAATTTGGTACAATTAATAAATAAATAAATACGTAAAAGATTCATCAATTTTACATAATTTTATCTTTAGTGGGTAGAAATAATTTTTAAAAATTGAAAAATATTTTTTTGACATTTATTTTTGTCAAATTAGTTTATATTTAATCAAATTGATGACTTTGCCTTTGAAATTGAGTAATGGTATCTTTAATTGTCCTTATTTGAAACAATATTCAAAATTTAAAGTCAAATATATTACAATTAAAAAGTTATGAATCAAAGTGATACGTGCCCCAACCTATCAAGATTGTTAGTGTAATTTGTCTATATTAAAAATTATTCAAAATTGTAAGACTAAGCTAATTAGCTAAACAAACAACAAATTAAAAAAATGAGGAATTTGGTCATAAGTCTAATTTCAAAATTGTGAGGCCAATAACCTCAAACTCTATTATTTTCGACCAAAAGAAAAAAAATCAATTTATGAATCTGTCTATTTGTCCAATATCCACCTATCCGTCGATATCACCTACTTGTCCACTTGACATCCCCTTATTTGTCGACATATCACTTATCTATCGATCTAATTTGTTTATTTGTCCATATCACTGTCACATATAGTCCTTATCACCAGCCACCGTCAATAACTTTTTTGGCCATTTTCTTGATGACTTTTCTACAGTTGACGGTGGTCTGGCAATCATCTAGTAATAGTAGGATAAAAAAAAAATACTTTCAAAATAATAATTTATCTTTCTTCCTAAACAATTTTATTAGTCATATTCTATTTTCAAAAAAGATCAATTATTGAACCTAACATTATACACCTCCATAGAAATGGAGTTATCACCAATAAACTCTTAAAAATTTAGGGGGTTGTATGTTGTTCTGATGTTCCCTACTCTCAATCCACCATTTATTATCTTGCAATCAAATATCATATTAAAAATTTGGTGGACCTCATATGTTCCCTCTACTTTCAATCTCACATATACAAATGCAAACAAACATGCCCTTCAAGAAAATAGATAATTTATTTTTTAAAGATAAAATAAAGATAAATATGATAAAAATATGTGATTATAATTGTTAGATTAATTTGATTATTTATTTATTACAAATGATATGCACAAAGAACTACAAAATCAATGGAATAGATCACCAAAATGAAACTTGTTGTGGGCTCAATGGACCCAAACAATATAATTCAATCCATTTTAGACAGAAGAAAGCATGTTTCAAGAAAATATATATATCTATATATATATTCATAAGTTGACTCTCAATAATGAAAAAGACACTTACTAATCAATCATATTAACTAGATTTACAAAAAATGAGAGACTCATAAATTTACAGCTAATAAATTTATCAATAGAATTTAATAAGTAATAAGTTTAAAAAATAAGACATATTGGTATGTTGAAGTTGATCAACTAAGCCTCCGTTTGGAAGTGGGTAGATTTTTTGACTTTTTTACTTTTTTAGCTATTTTAGCATGGGGCTAAAAAGCCTGGTTTGGGATAGGCTTTTTTATTTTTTTAGTTTTTTGACTTCTTGCTGAGGTGTCGATATGTAATATTACTAAACTGCCCCTGGTTTTAAACTTTGTCCTGACAGTGCCGCTGAGCGCGACACGTCACTACTCATTTTACCCTCTTTTTTTTAAAAAAAATTTATCATGAATGCGACGGTTGTGATATGGAATTGTTAACATAAATATATTTTTTGGTCATTTTTATTTTTTTATTTTTAAATTTTATCATGAATGCGACGGTTGTGCTATGGAATTGTTAACCCAAATATATTTTTTGGTCATTTTAATATTTGTTTATTTGATTACATTAGTTTTTTTTTTTCTTTTGTAAATGTCTTTTTCATGTGTTTTTTTATTTTGATTTTAATTTTAATTTTAATTTTTTTTTCATTTTTTGTAAAATGATAAAAAGTGAGGTTTTATTTTATTGTCCTGTGTATTTTATTTTTATTTTTTTGCAAATGGTTTTTTCATGTGTTTTTTATTTTAATTTTAAATTTTTTTAATAATAATAATAATAATAATTTTAATTTTAATTTTAACATAATAACAATAATAATATTTTTTATTTTTATTTTATTGTCCTGCGTATTTTAATTTTTTTAAATTTTAAATTTTAATTTTAAATAAATAATAATAATAGTAATTTTTATTTTTATTTTATTGTCCTGTGTATTTTAATTTTTTTAATTTTTAAATTTTAATTTTAAATAAATAATAATAATAGTAATTTTTATTTTTATTTTATTGTCCTGTGTATTTTAATTTTTTTAATTTAAATTTTAAATTTTAATAATAATAATAATAATTCGACAAGCCCCAAAAAATAAAAAAACAAGAATTTACAGAACTAGGGTTGTGGAAAAAACCTGAATTCCAAAACAATAAACTGATCTTCAGTTTCACGAAAAAATAAAAATAAAAAAAAATTCAGAAGCATTGGCTATAATCATTACCAGAATTTAGTTAGAAAGAAAAAGAAACAAAAAAAAGAGAGGAGGTTTTGGGCGTAATTTCAATGACACTATAGTCGGATTCGCAGATGCCAAACAACAGTCGGATTTGCGTTTGGCTTTGGCAAGCTTCGCAAGTCTTCTTCGACGACGTAGGTGGCTACTCCGGTGGCGATTGGCTTGGCCAAGGTTGCCGAGATGTCTTTGCGGTTTAGCTTTTCGACGAATCTCCGACTTCACTTCAGTGTGTGAAAATAATTGCAAAATTTCAATGTTGCGTGTGTGGGGAGAGGAGGGGGGCGAGGTGGTGCTGGTGTGATGCAACTGTGAAAGGGGGTAGTTTTGTAAAATCACCCTAGCCTGGGTTGTATCATCACCACGTGAAGGCCTTTTGTTTGGTAGTGGCTAAATTGGCCTATTTTGGACGATAGTGGCTAAAATAGCCCACAACTGTCTTCCCAAACAGTGCCTAAGTACTTAGGCCTCGTTTGGCAAGTACTTTTTTTAGCTAAAAAGTCAAAAAGTCACTAAAAAAAATCAGAAAGCCAACAACCACACAAAAAAGTCAAAAAATCTTTTTTCTCTCTACTTTTTGCACATTTTTTCGTAAAAAACCAAAAAATCATCCCAAACATACTAGTTTTTTATAGCTCATATTTTAACCAAATAACTAAAAAATTACTAAATTAATCTATTTCCAAACGAGGCCTTAGTGTTTAGTCTCAAGTGTTCAGTTTGTCTCCTCTCAAGGCCTTCACGTGGTGTTGGTGTGAAGCAACTGTGAGAGGGGGTAGTTTTGTAAAATCACCCTAGCTTGGGTTGTATCATCACCATGTGAAGGCTTTTTGTCTGGTAGTGGCTAAATTAACCTATTTTGGACGATAGTGGCTAAAGTAGCCCACAATTGTTTTCCCAAACAGTGCCTAAGTACTTAGGCCTCGTTTGGCAAGTAGTTTTTTTAGGTAAAAAGTCAAAAAATCACTAAAAAAATTAAAAAGCCAACAACCACACAAAAAAGTCAAAGACTCTCTTTTCTCTTTATTTTTTGTACATCTTTTCGTAAAAAGTCAAAAAATCATCCCAAACATACTAATTTTTTATAATTCATATTTTAACTAAATAACTAAAAAATTACTAAATTAATCTGTTTCCAAACGAGGCCATAGTGTTTAGTCTCAAGTGTTGAGTTTGTCTCCTGTCAAGACTAATTACTCGGGCATTACTACATAAGGTTAGCAGGACTTGAGAGAATCGTACCCACCATCAGTGTAAGCTGGAATTCCCACTATTATGTCAATCAAAGACTTACTTTTAGATGATTAAATGTCCATGCTAAGAGCTTAGAAGATTTGGGAAGAATTTTAGAAAAAAAACATAAAAGATATGTGAAATTAAATAAAATATTAATATATTTTATATTTTTCTTTTCAATTTTTTTTATAAATCTCTCCATTAAATACATCATAAAAGTACAGTCCTAGGAGCGCCACCAACCATAGCACCTTTAGTTTTTCCTTAAAAAAGTCATGATTTTGCTCAGTTAGAACAGTTCTTCAAGTGTTGATATAATTGATATGACTCATTGTAATGATCTCATTCGTAGGTTACAATAAAAAAAAAAAAAAGGAAAATGCAATACAGTTGTAACACTAAATTTTTTTTTATCATTTCAATTATTAAAATTAATAAATTTTACCACTCATTTGAAATTTGTTATGGAAACTTGCATTGAATTGCAATTCAATTTCCCCTAAAAACAATCTAGGGACAAATAGTGAACAATTAGAAAATGGTATTCTTTTGCACCCATGAACTTCTTTTCTTGTTTTATCAAGCATAAAAGACAACAATGCTCCTAAAATTAAAATTTTAACTTATTTTTTATTTTTATAATTATAATTATTTTTATTATTATTATTATTATTTTTTTAATTTTGAGTTAAATATTTGTACTTTTTAAGTTCATCTCTACTAGATGTTTCTAGCAGTTTAAAAAAAATTAATTCAATTTAAAATAATAAAATTCACTAAAAACAAAAACAAGTCAAATTTTATAAAAATTTCTTACAAAAATTGGCTGCTTTTTCTCTGTCATGGATTTTGTTTTCAAAAAAATTGCCTAAAATGGTTTTTAGAAAATTGACACAATTTTATTACCAAAATCACTAAAAAATAAATCAGCTGAATTAAAAATAAAAACAAATAATAAATAATTAAAAAAAACCAAAAATGGCTGAAGATGATCTAAAAAGGAAAAAGATGAAGAGAAAAAAAATCCATGTAACAACTTACTTACATTGTGTGTTTTTTCTTGAATACATCATACATATGTCCCTAAATCATATACTCCATATTGATATGTACAATCATTTTGGAGGTGCTATATACAAATATCTCCCCTCCAAAATGTGAAGGCATATCATCATCTATCCTTGCCAACTCATGCAATGTGTTGTTACAAAGAAACTTGTGGGTTGTTGTGTTTGCATATGATGATTCTGACCTACATCACCTTAGAAGCCAGTGCCGGCGGACTCTTCTTGAATGTCCAAGATTTCGACTCTGCGTTTCATTTTCTTCCTTATCTTTATAGTCACATCGGACGGTCTAAATCTCCCGCACACAGACACCCTGCAGTGTTGCTTCTCTATCAAGTGTGTCTCTATTTCTTTAGCATTGTTTCACAAGCAAAAGAATTGTTTTACTCAACAAATTATATATTTACCAGACAAGAAAATCAATTACTCGGTTTGTTTTAGTAGAAAATAATTTTCTATTAAAAATAATCTTCATAGAAAAGGCATTAATACGATGGTAGTGTGGTGATGGTGATAGTGGTGGTAGGATGGTAGAGGTGATGGTTTTTGTGGTGGCGTTGATAAAATTTCAGTCTAGAAAATGTTTTTCGCACAAATGAAATATTTTGGATAAATTACACCGATAGTCCTTATACTTTGGCCCTAATGTCATTTTGGTTAATGTAATTTCAATTAGCTTAATTTTGACTCTTAATTATCGATTTTGTCTCAATTTAGTCAAAGTGATTATAATTGTTTGTATTATTCTATGACAAATGCATACATAAGCTGCATGTATCATGTGTTTAGAGGAAAAATTGTAAACTTGATCAATTTAATGAGTTAATTTCAACCAATTCAATGATTATTTTTCACAAAAAACTCTAATGACATTGTCAATTGAACCAAACAAACACAATTCAATGATTATTAAGACCTTACCTTTCATGTTGAGGAGGATTGACCTTAGTTTCCTGTAACAACCATTGCAGTCTATATTCATCCTCATCACCATGCAGCAATACTGCAATTTTACCAAAACAACAGAACAAAAAATAGAAGATAGAGTTTATTTTTGAAAATCTTGAATATTAGGTGAGAATAGAATAAAAAGTTGATAAAGATGCTTTTAGAGCTTGCCTTTATTGGGTATGCTGACATTAAAGCTGAGAATCGAACACAGTCAAGATCAAGCTATTGATTAGTATGAGGATTATGAAGAATTTGAGGGCATTTTTATGATGATGATGAACAGTTGATTAATGTTTGGATTGTCATGTGGGAATTCCTCTCTTGCATTTTGGAATCTGATTCTGCTAAGGCATTGTAATATTTATGCTTATTGTGATAGACTTTCTTCTTCTTCTTCTTCTTCTTCTTCTTCTTTTCCCTTTTGTGTTTCTTATGATACGATAGCATGCTGATAAAGGGAAGCATCTATTACTCATTCCTTGTGGGTTTCTGTTAGGTTGAATGGGACATTATTAAACATCTCTTTCTTGTTAACGAAGTTTTATGCTCTCCCTCTCTTCACTCTCTTGTTTACAATTAAGGCATCCATCTCTCTCTCCATAGTTCCCAAAGAAGGATTTGTTATTGGTTCTCCCCTAAAAAAATTTATGAGAATTAAAAAAAAAAATAAAAAAATACACAGTGGATAGTAGTAGGGTCTAAGGCCCTGTTTGATTATTTGGAGTACTAGTGATGGGATTAACAATCTCATGGGATAAGTATGTGTAGAATTGCTAATACCTACTCTCCTTTGGTATTAGATATACGAAAATTTTGTAGGATTAAGAATCCTACGTATTATTAAGCCATATGCCGTTTGTGTGATCCAAATGCAAGAATATGAATTTGATAGGATTAACAGTCCAATCCTACATCTTTATCATGTAATCAAACAGGTCCTAAGAAAGGTAATAACACTACAATATATCAAATCTAAAAATAAATACAAAAAAAAAAGCACTACAACATATAAGGATTTTAGGAACCAATTTTTTTTATCTCCAAAAATAAAAATTCTGTTGCAAAAAATATTAGGAGATCTATTTCTGTCGTCACTAAAAGGCTATATTAAAGTTAAAAAAGAACTTTTATTGGCAAAATTTTAAAAATATCGCTAATAAATACACTTTTAAAATCAAAATAATTTGGTACTAAAAAGGTTTTTTGAAACAAAAATTTTAGATCCAAAAAGATAGTAATTCATCATTAAATGTCTAATTTCATTGCTAAAAATATAACAATGACACTTTTGACAATTAAAATATTTCCTCCTAAAAAGTAATTTTATCCTTAAACTTTTGTCTCAATACCTTAATTTGTTGTAGTATAAGTTGTCAACTTTCTCATTGTGGAAAGTCCCTCACTTTAATTCACGCTACTCAACACTAGGAGCAAAAAGCAATTGCGATTGTTTCAGGTCACAATGTCTATAAAATTGAAAAATGATTCTTAGGCCGATTAATCATGCCAAAGCCGATCACACATTCATACTATGTGGTCGGTTTTGGCTTGATCAGTCCGTCCAAAATATTAGTGCTCCTGCAAATTTAAAGTGATGAAATTGTGCTGTTATTGAAGAGTAACAAGAAGGGAAAGGAAAATAAATTAGGGAACCATACAACACATTTAGGCTGAACAATAATTCTACATAATCAGAGAAGTAGCAAATATTTGAAATGAATAAATCAAATTCTAGGCACTTTTCTACATATTTTAAATTTCTAAGATTTATTACAAAAATTATTCACTGCCCACTGTTAATTTGTGTGTACCGCATTTAGCTTAGATAGTGAATTATATAGAAGAGTTATTTATTGTAACAACCCTCTTAGTGATCTACTAACCGAATATATATAATAATAAAAAAATCATTAACGCCCTCGATATACCAAGTGTGACAAGGGAATATACAATTTTATCAATACTGAGTGACATTTACAATGTTTTGTTTCTTTTGTATTTTTGTTTTTTTATTTCCTCGTAATAAACATATATTTTTGTATTCTGTTTTTTTTCATTGTTGAAATGTAGGATCATCTGGGAGAAGTGCGAAAGAGGCGTGTGATCATTGCGACTTTGTTGAGGGGCTTCCTGGAATTTGCAGCAACAATTTGGCTAGTTGGAGGATGTGCTTTAACAAAACTACCAGTGAGTGTTATCTTCTTCTCCAACACACTCACCACCACTGACTCTGTTTCCCCTGCACCAGGAATTTTTTTAATTTAAATTTCGATTATCGTCAAGATAATACTTATATCACTTGCTAATCAAAGGGGGCAAAAAACTACAATCAGAAACGGGTTAATTACATTTTTTTTTATCCAAAGTATGATTCGCGTGTCATTTTAGTCTACAATGTTTAGATTATATCAATTTGGTCCTCAATGTATAAAAATATTTCAATCTACCATAATTTAAATGTTGGGGACAAAATTGAAATACTTTTATACAATACTATAGGGACTAAATTGACACAATTTTATACGTTGAAAACCAAATCGACTCAATTTAATATTAAAGATAAAATAAAAAAGTAAAAAAAAAATGATACACGACTTCTATTTTGATGATTAAAAATGTAATTAAACCATCAGAAACTGAACTAGAATTCAGAAAATGCAATGGAACTATCTACACTAAGCCAATTACTTGATTGAGAATACAAGTCATGGTGATCAATGCATATGCAATGAATGGTATTATCCACATGGTTTTGGTCCCACCAAGAACAATCATACATAACTAAACTAAGATGAGAAAGTATTTTTACTCAAACAGGTACATCATGGTAGCGTATTGGTTTACTTTCAATCCATATATTGTGAAAGTTACACTACCAAGGCTACAATTAGTAATTGGATATGTGACTTGGTCCAATGGTAACATGTATTGTTAAGCGTGATTTGATAATATTTACTATTTACTGTTTTTTTGTTTATAAGGAAATATTAAAAGTACTTACATTTATTTTTAATAAAAGCAAAAATTAAAACAAAAACATGTATGTTTTTTTAAAACAAGTGAGAGAGATGATCCACGGGAGGTTGTAGCCGAGGTAATTGGTGATGGTCGGAAATGGGTAGGCAGAGGTGGTTATCGGTTGCAGGAAGTGACGGTTGAAAGTAGTTGTCGTCAGTGGGAGTTGGTTGATAGCAATTGGAGGTGGTTGTCGGACATAAAAAGTGGTTAGTGATAGTTGTTGGTCGCTGAAGGGGTTGGGAGAAGGAGGAAGGAATGAATTTTTTTTTCTTCTAAGTGCGTAAAACCAACTCTCTTTTTTTGTTTTGTTTTTTTGTTTTTTGCATTTAGAAAAATTTAGTAAATTTTATGAACTGTTTATCAAATTTTGAAAACGAATTACTGCCCATTACACACAAAAGTCTGGAATTTCAGCTCAAGGAAAAAATATCTTGGCAATTTATAGCAGCTTTGATGATCCTTTCACCCATGAAACTGAGAAAGAGTTAGAGTAGCAGTACTTAGAACATGTTTGATTTCTCAAAATCTTAAGATCAATTTGTTTACTAATCTTGACAATCACTCTGAAGAACCCCATCCCAATCTGAGGACACAAAGCTTCTTGATCTCTGGAAAAGTTTCTCTATCCTAGAAGTTAACCCTCAAAGAAAGTTATCCATTAACCAAAACCCAACTCTTTTGGCAGCAAGGGAAAAGGGCACCTTTTCTGCTTTGAAAGAGAATAATATAATTTGTACATTTGATACCCTCTAAGAAAGTACTTCCAAAAAAATAGCTCAAAGTGATTGCAAAGGAATCCAATGTAAAAATTGGCCAATGCCAAATAAAGAGAATCTATATCAGAATTAAGAAAAAAACAAGTGTCTTGTGGTAGGAAAGCCTTGTTTAGTTTGGTATCCAAGGGGCAAAAGGGTCTTTACATGGACCCACATATGTTGAGATCACAACGGTTACTGAGTGCAAGAGCAAAGATATTGACAAGGCTTGTTTATGGTTGCCAACTGGAGGTGATATTGAGTGTTTTTGGACCCATTACGTAATCTATTTTGATAATTTTAGTGGCTTATTTTATAGAATTTTTTGAATAGATAATTCATGGGGAAAAAAATTATTTAAAATAATGAATGATATATTCTAAAAACTATACTTTAAAAAAAAAAACTATACTCGTCTATTTTCTTATAAAAAATGTGATTTGAACAGGTGGTTTTTATAAATTTAATTTTTTAAGAAGATGATCTATTCAACAAACTCGATTATATAAATAATTCTAATCATTGAGATGAATTTTATGCCGGGTCCATAGATCCCACCAACACCTCTATAGTTGTTTCTTGGCAATAAGCCTTTTGCCCTCAACATATTTTATCTATATTAATGTAGGAGTTGTTTGGGAGGTTGGTTGGGATTAAATTAATAGGTTAAAAAATCAAAAAGATAAACTATTACTTCTAAACTATAATTATTTTATTTTTTCTTTCATAAAATTACAAAAAAAATTAAAAATTAATCTCAAACAATATAATTTTAATCAAGTTAAAATAATTAAAAAGTCAAACTAAAAATGTTCATCCTAAACGAAGAATGTGTGTAAATTTTTAAGAAACTCTAATATTGTTGATAAATGAGACTTTCTTCGTCTCAATCAAATGAAACAGGAAAATTGACAGAAGGGTACAAGGGTAAACTTACCATTCATCTTGGAAATGATGTTAGCTACCCTCTTCTGACACTCTTCACATTGAAAGTCAGCTAAAAGAACAACTTCCTGAACCTGCAAGCATAAACCCAAATACCATCCACATGAGCCCACAACAAAGAAACATACACAAGCCCCCAAAAACAAAACACTTTGCATTCACACATCAAAACACAAGATACACAATCCCAAACAATTGAGTTGTGATAAGCGTTTCAAAAAAGTATAAGTGATAAGTCAAAATTCATGAAAAGCTGTCTGTTATAACAATTTGTGTTGGGTAATTACTTGGTACATGTAAGATGAAGAATTATATGTAAAAAATTCAGATAGCATTATCATCCATTTATATACATATGTATAAAACAGAAACAGAAGGAGGACTAACCAGAGGAATGGTTAAGGATTCAAGAGAGGCAAGGCTAGTTTGAGGGAGGAGCAAGCCCTTTGACTTCTTGAATCCAATTGTGTTGTTCTCTTCCTTAGTCCTACCAGAAATAGCCATAGTTCCTTTTTTGTTCTTCCACTACTCAAACAAAGCACAGACAAAGCCCTTCTTATAGAGCAGTAAAGTTACCTACCTGATCAATCTCTCCTTCCAAACAGGACAACAAAGAGAGAAAGAGAGAGAGAGGAAAGTGATCTAGGAGCAGCAGCTATAACCATGATGGGGGAATCCCATCTTTTTTGAGATGCTTGAATTGTTGGGGAACAAGGAGATGAGATGAGATGACATTGACATATACTTACTTGACATTGTTGTTAAAAAACATAACTAGGCATTTAGTAAAGTGGAAAAGGTCTTTAAAGTTGACAAAGATGCTTCATACCCTTTTGCTTTTGTCTTTTTTCCCCTTGCTTTTTCAATATTTACAAGTGGAGAAAATTATTGAATGGTGGTTGCTTTGAAGACCAGATTTACTCTCCTGTCAAATTTTTAACTCTAATTGACCAATCACATGTCTTGTTAAGCCGAGCCGAGCCTAGCTTATTCGAACCTTTGGCTCAAGCACAGGTTTTAATCGATAAAGGCTACAGAGTAAAGACACAACATCAATCACATAAAATATAAATTGAGCAATTTAAATAAAACTATATATTTTATGATGGATTCAATTATTTAATTTGTATGGTCAAGATTATAGTAATATGAGTGAAACAATATCTTTTATGATAAGTCTAATTATCTAAATTGTATGGTATTATTTTATGTGGTTAGTTTTGTGTGGACAGACTTATTGGGTTTTTATAAGATGTGTTTAGGCTCTGTTTGGATGAAGTAATTTAGTAATGAATGATGTGAAAGAGAATTTCTTTTTTCTTCTTATATTTAGTTTATAAATTATGTAAAATTGTGAAAAAAAAAGGTACATCTCTTATTTTATTTGTTTCATTTTTCATCAAATCTCTCACCAAAATAGTAAGATTTGATGAAAAATAATTGATTGGTTATAAAAATAGAATAATGCTTTGGACCCCCTTTTGGGGTCACCCCCTCACCCCCCTTTGCCATGTGGCAGGGGGTGATTGGAGGAGCAGGAAAAAAAAGAAAAAGAAAAAGAAAAAGAAAAAGTAACCAATGAGAGAGAGAGAGGGTCAAAGGGGGTGGGGGGAAAAGGGGATGAATCATTACTCAGAATATCCCCCACTAATACCCACTTTTTCACGTACCATAATTTATTTTCTTTTCTTACTTGTTATACAAAACAGACTGTTAAATTTTGAATTTGTGAAAAAAAAAAATGAAAAAATGAAAAGTTAGTGGAAAAAAAACTTTTATCTCATTTACCTTTTACTTTTTTTTTCTTCAAATTCTTTTATAAATCAAAGATTTACTATCTTTTTTGAGCTCTCAGCTTGGCTCTGCTAAAAGCTTTGAGTTATTTTCAAAGTCCAAAATTATATGTTGTCCAACCTAATTAGATAGTAATAATTTGGATAAATTACAAATACATTCTCTGAGATTTGTTTAAAATATGAATTATTTTTTGTAGTTTGAAAAATTACGAATACTTTTTTGTCAGAATTTTTTATTTAACAAAATTAATTAAAAAAATAAAATTTCTAACTGTTCAACTATACAATAATAAAATTATCTGAATTATTAATTGAATTAAAATTTTAACATTATTAAAAACTATTAATTAACTTGATGATTTATTAATAAAATGACATATTTATTATGAAATTAAAAAACTTAAGAGATATAATATAATTTATAAAATTACAAAAAATAATTTATAATTTAAATTAACCTCAAAAAATGTGTTTGTAATTTACCCTAATAATTTTCAACTATATGTATTGCTGACACTAGCGTGAGGCCAAGTATTGGCCGCATCTAGTCTTTTAATGCGAGCTTGATCTATCAGAGTCAATTAATTTTTTAATTTTAAAAATAAAATAAAAAAATAAGATTAATTCAACCCTGTTTAATTTATAAGAGGATGACGTAGGAACGCAATGAGTTCAAGTCATTATTGTTACCTACATTAGTACCACTTATTCTCTACCAATCACAGTTTTACTGACTGGACTTTTTCTTTTTTCTTTTTTTCTAAATTAAAAATTTTGTTGAAAAAAATTAAGAGACCAATTTTCTGTTATCACTAAAAAGTGGTCCCAGAAACTAAAAATATTACATTTTGTTACAAATTCTTGAAAATGTTGCTAATGAATGTATTTTTACGGACAAAATAATCTGTATTTTTACAGACAAAATAATTTCATGCCCAAAAAGATTTACTTTTGAGATGAAAAATTTGATCCCAAAAACATATAGTGATCTATTACTGAATGTTTAGTTTTGTCACTACAAAATGCAACGATTACACTTTTTAGAAATTAAGGGTGTGTTTGGTTTGTGTTTGTAGAGTAATTTTTTAGATAAAAAATACGAAAACTTGTTTGGTTTTTCTTTTTTCATAAATGGTTTTGAAAAATTGTTTTGGGGAGAGAGTTTTAAAAAAAATGATTGATTTAATGTGCATGAGAGAGATAATGATTTTGGAAAGCAGATAACCAAACAAAATTTTAAAATTTTTTTTGGAAAAATTTGTTTGGTTTGATTACTTTTGAAAATTTGTTTATAGAGAATTTTTCCCAAAAAATTTTCTGAAAAAAAAAAAACCAAACAAAGCTTAAAATATTTTGTCCCTAAAAATGATTTTGATCCTAAATTTATTTTTCTAAAACCTTAATTTGTTGTAACAAATTATTAGAAACTTACTCAAATACTCTAAAAGAATTTGGTCAAATAAATTACTCCCAAAACGGTAAAACTTAAAAAAAAGAAACGTTAAAATGAAAAGTTTTAATTTATATGTTTTAGTAATTGACATTTTTCGAATATTAGAACAAACAACTATGCTAATTGATCATCATGATTTAAAAAAAGAAAGGAAATAGAAGAGTATCACTTGGCAACTGTGGATTTAAAACAAGTCCTAATCGAGTTGTATTGTGATTTAAAGTTGGTATTTAAGTTAGGTTAAAGGTTGTATTAGCGTTCAACTTAAAAATGCTCTACATCAACAATGATAACAAGACTATACAATGTTGAGTACAAGTACCCAAAGCAATGCTCTACATCAACAATGATAACAAGACTATACAATATTGAGTACAAGTACCCACAGCATTAAATGACAAACTTTTTAATGTAGTAAAAGACATGGAGGATTCTGGAAAATGAAGCTCACTCGAGCGAAGTTACTTTAGAATTTTTTGTTTTACTACATAATTGAGCGGGATTTTGTAAGCTCAACGGGAGACGCTAATTTTTATAAGATAGAAGTCAATTTATCAATTAGAGATGTCTCATAAGGCCTTCAATGCTTCCTACGAATCTTCAATTATAAATAGAAGCTTGGCAGATACAAACATCATATTATACACTCGTGCTAAATAATTCAACTCTTTAAACTTTTTATCTTTTAATCAAAGGTTGTTCAAAGTCCTTGGTGGATTCCGAAGGCATCATTGGAGTAACAACGTGTTAGATATGTTGTGGACCAAGAGCTTGGCAACGGTGTGCGTGGATTCAGCAAGAGCACTTAAGTCCATAAATTGAGCAATTTGATAATTTGGTTTTGTGAGTTGTGTCTTGTAATTTTCCACTGATAATAGTTACTTAATTTGAGTTGAACTTAGACTAGTCCCGCAGTTTTTGTTTTTTTTTTTCCCCTTGGATTTTTCTATAAAAATTGCGAGTCTCCATGTGTGATAAATTTTTTTTAATGCTTGCAATTTAAACATTTAATTAAATTAATCAACCAAATAACACCAAAGCAAATCCATATCAACGAAATAATATTTTCTCAATCACAATATATATCTAACAAGAGAGGAGGAGAATGAGAATTGAAGACACATCTTACCAACTAATTAGGGAAGTAGTGGGTTAGGGTAAGCAAATTCTGTCCCATCTCTATTTTATTATCAGGATAGGAAAAACTCACACAAAACAAGATGGGAGCTAAGGGCTGAGCCAATTTGTCATCCCTAGACATAATCAATTTTAATTTTAATACGTGCAAATGGTATAGGATTGAACGTAGAAGCTCCGTTACAACCAAAGTCTCTTGTTCTACTTTCAAGAAGTGTAAAATCATTCAGATCTATCACAAATAAATAAATAAAATCTAATTTTCAGCTTATTATATGGTTGTTCCATTGCCAACATAACAACAAAAAAATCTAACCACATTAGGGTAACTCCTACAGTTAATTAAGACCCACCGAGTTATCTTTTGGTGGTACTATATATTCAGCTTTTCAATCTATATAATAGTAAGTTACTGACTCTTACAATGATGAGGATTCACACTCATACTCCAAATACTAGATATGGTTTGTCCAAGCTTAGAAAACAGATCTTATTAACAAATTGTATTGTCGCCCAAAAAGCTAGCCCTTGGATTCAAACAGGCTACGTTGAGATCAATACCAAAGTTAAAGGTATACTACATAGTCACCCTGTTAATCTATGCAGTGATAAGTCACAAACGTGTACAATGGTGGAGACTCATACGTACTCTCTAGACATTAGGTACGATTCATCAGACCTGAAAGATACATCTTACCAACTAACTATAGTAACGTGTGAGAAACTAACCCCAAAGACTTGAACAGAGAATCTCAAGATCAATAAAAAAGTCCTTAGCACTAAGTTAAACTCCAGAATTATTCCTTCTGCCAAGATTGGAAATTAGGAGGAATAAACTATACCAAAATAAATATATGTAAAAAAAAATTGAAATGCAGGAAAATAGTGGTAAATGATTAATCTAATCTGAAGTAACAAATCCAAATTGCAGTAGCCAAAGGTCATGACCTCGGCATAATGATTAAAGAAGTTCTAAAAATGGTAGGCATTATTATTATATCATCATACAAATTCAGCAACAAATCCGACATTGACTTCCAAATAACATACCTAACCTAAACTAGTCCACTTAGGTACCTCACAAATCTATCTATATATTATATATAAAAAAAAATAAGATTTTTAACTCACAAATCTTGTGAGAATTTCAATATTTCAATCTTAATTTTTTAATTTTTTGATTTAAAAAAAAAACTTTAACATTTATTAATTTTTCTTAACTCACAAGTCTTTTTGACTTTTCTCATATCTACTGCCGCACCATTTTCAACTTCTATCATATACTATGGTTGATGATAGGATTATTAATTTTTTTTTATAAAAAATCTACAAAAAATAATTTGTATATTAAAAAAAAATCTAAAACAAATATAAATTCTTATTA